GAGGTTGAGAAATTGTGTACTCAAGGTCACAGTTACACCCAAAAATAGCAAAAATATAAAGTATATAAAGAAACAGTATATAATATATAAGGATCTAAGATATATTGTACACTAAGATATACAATAAGATATACGCTAAACGATGCGCTAAAAGATCTAAGGTGAATCTTTGAACCAATGTCTTTGAAAACAACAATGGTTCACACCGTTGTATTACTTTTTAAAATTAGTTTTATACTATTTCACGTTTGTTGAACCCTTGGTTCATCCTGATACGTAAAACATTCACTGTTTTCTAAAAGAATGTCATAAAACTGAACATACACTGTAATAAGTGTCTACCAAATCAGATGTGTGCTTGTGAATGTGGGAAAGATAAAACAGTTTTACATTGGAAGCTTTTTGAAGCATTGCAGGAAGCTTTGTGCCCATGTTCACACAGTCAGGTCTAACCAGTACGACCTGTTATGTTTGACACGTATGCAGCTTGAGTCGTAAAACACACAAACCTTTGAGTGCACGATGTCAGCCACCTGATTGTGCTTCATACTTATTTTATTTTTAAACATTGAATTGCGTAATGGGCAGCACGATGGCGCAACTGGTAGAGCTGCTGCCTCTCAGCGAGCAGGTTACCCTGGTTCAAATCCCAGTCCAGGGGCCTTCTGGGTGGAGTTTGCATGTTCTCTCCGTGCATGTGTAGGTTTTCTCTGGTACTCCAGTTTCCTCCCACAGACCAAAAACATGCATGTTAGGCTGATTGGTAACTCTAAATTGTCTTTAGGTGTGAGTGAGAGAGTGAATGGTTGTTTGTCTCTATGTGTCCCTGTGATGGACTGGAGACCTGTCCACGGTGTCCCCTGCCTCTCGCACAGTGATTGCTGGACATGGGCACCAGCAGACCCGGCTCCAGAAGAATTTAGCTGGGGGGGACTGAGGAATTTTAATTTTTTGGGGGTGGGGCAGTAAATAGTCATTTTATTTTATATAAATACATAAATAAACGTTTACATAACCTTGCAACTGAAATAACCATATGCTGTTTATTAATATAAAATAAATAACTTAAACAGTGACGTAGTCACCAGAAAATGCTGAGAAAGTGCTCAAGTTTGCATTAGGGGTGTGAATCTCTCAGTGTCTGGCGATTCGATTTGAAATCGATTTTCGATTCAGAAATGATTTTTCTATTGAAATATTCATAAATTTTATTTCAATTATGTAAATGACAAGATGAAATAAATTAAACAACAAGGTAAACAAATAGAACATTTATTTAAAACAATGATTTTAGGTTATTTATTGTATCAAATCTTTTTGCATCATTTTATATTTAATAACAAAATCAGGAGCAAATATAGGAGTGCATAAAATTCTGTAAATTAAATTACCAGTATTAGGTTAGCTTAGCTGCCTGGCTTTTTATTAAAAAAAAAAAAAATCTAGGAACAAATAATCAATCAATCAATCAATCAATCCATCCATCCATCCATCCATCATCTTTACCCACTTCTTCCTTTTCGAGTCACAGGGGTCACTGGTCCCATGTCCAGCCACCACTGTGTGAGAGGCGGGGGACACCTGGACAGGTCTCCAGTCCATCACAGACAAATAATTCAAAATATACAAATACAAAAGTAAACAAAGACTTCAGCCTACCATAGTACATTAACCTTAACTCAACATAAAATACAGACTTCACAGTTTGTTTTTTTAACCATATTGCTCTAACATTTGTTATATTTTCAAAACTTAACCTAATATGAAATATGCATTCATTCAACCTTTATTTAAACAGATAAGTCACATTGAGCCTCGAAGACTCATTTACAAGAGAGATCTGTTTAGACAGACAAAAAGTAGTGAAACTGGACACGTAGGAATTGGAGGCAAAAAAAAAAAAAAAATCCTTTTAAACTATACAAACTTCACAGTCTTAACCATATTGATTCATATTTGGTAAATCTTTAACATAATTTCAAAACTTGTGCAAGTCTGCACAAAAACTCTTCTGAACTGTAAATTTATCAACCATAAATTGTATCATTTAGAACTGGCTCCAGGTGATGTGTCTCATCTGTCCTTTCTTCAACTTGTTAAAAAGACAAATTACATTAAGTTTGTTGTATAACTTGTCTATAAGTTTTAGTATAATATGAGAAAAAACTTACCTTTGAGCTGCAGCTCCATCAGAGCTTCTCCCATTCGTTGTTTCATGGTAGAGATGTAAAAAAAAAAAGGACTATACTTACAGTATATAGCGCCTTTCTATCTTATTTCAAGATACTCAAAGTGCTTTACAACAATCTGTGTCCTCATTTATCCATTCACACAGCACTCTAGTAGATCTCTAGAAAGCTAATTGAACAAATAATTCTAAAGAAACGAATCAGAGCTTTATCACATTCATACACTGATGGGACACACATCAGAGGCGATGAGGGGTTCAGTGTCTTGCCCAGGGACACTTCAGCATGTGACTGCTGGTGGATTCGAACCCCTGACTCTTGCATTGGAGGATGACTGCTCTAACCACTCAGCCACAGCCGCCCCATGTGATGTGGCGTAGCTTTTTTCACTAAAAAAGCTATGTGAAGTAATAACGTACATTGGGTCAGCGTATTAAAAATAAACCTGAATCCCTCGCCTTCGACTGAGCTGTCTGGTCGTAAATCCTTTGTGCAGGAGATGGAGAGGGAAATCTTCACAGCTCTTAGAGAATTAGCTGGAAGTTTGCTCAGTTCACTGGTCTGCTGCTTCACTTTCATCTTCCTTCCACGCATTTGTCGTATTTCCAAAGTACTGTACCGTAATTTTATTTTACACTTCTTGCAAACAAATGTGCTCTTGTTAAGCTCTGTCTTCCCCCAGAACATTGTAGAATCTGAAATGATTTTTAAAGACAAAGAAGCAAGATGAATCATGCTGTTAGAAATTAATCATTCCTGCAGGAACAGAGGAAGCTGAAACACCACAAGCTTCAGGGTCAGATGATCACCTTGTTACAAGTTCTGGAAGTTATAGCTCATTTAAAGGCAACACATATTTTGTTGTATGTTATATTTATACTCATCAGATCTTAAGCTTCATTTTCAGAGTCAGAGTCAGAGTTTCTTTATTGTCATTCGCACCTCATGTGGTACATGTGGTGGAGCGAAATTATGTACACAGGGTCCCAGTTACATGTATAAGAAAAACAGTAATAACATCTAAGATATGAACTAAGAAAAACATCAACTAAATATACACTAAGCACTCATAACATAAAACATTGAACATCAGCACAAACATGAACATGAGTCTGTGTGAGCGGATGTGCACGCATGAACACATCAACATTGAAACAGATCAGCAGCAACATGAAACAGATCAGCAGCAACATGATATGGTTTTTCACAGTGATTATACTGGTTAGAGATTCATGAGTCTAACAGCCTCAGGGTAGAAGCTGTTCCTCAGTCTAGTGGTTCTACACTTAATGCTCCTCAACCTCCTTCCTGAGGGGAGCGGGGCAAAAAGTGTGTGTGCTGGGTGAGTGGGGTCCTTCATGATGCAGGTGGCCCTCTTCCTGCATCTGGAGGAGTAGACGTCTGTGATGGTGGGGAGGCTTATTTTATTTTAGTTATTTTGGGAAACTACACCTGCACTTTAGTTTTTGTGGTGGATTTTGTTGATCTATATTTTGTGCAGACTTTTTTTTGTCTAAATAACAGAAGGATCATTTTTATTTTTATACTTTTAGACTGAATACTTTACTAAATAAAGTAATTTCAGTCAAATTAACCCTGGTTGTTATTTTTGTTTTTATATAATACTGCAAAGCAACATGTTAAGTTAATTTTGTCAAATGAATAACTGATTTCTGTTTTTTTTTTTTTTTGTTGTTATATCACGAAATTTATCGTTATCGTCAGAATGCTCTGAAATATCACAATATTATATTTGAGCCATATCGCCCACCCCTAATTACATTTGCATTTGACAACAGTTAAGTTGAAATGTTAATAATGTCAAATGGCACACAGGCTAATGAGCGTGGTCAGTTAATAAATACAGACTCTGTTTTTTTTAAGGGGCAGTTCATGCAGTCACAAAGAATTGGTTGTTTGCTGTTTTACTCTTTACGTGGCAAAAGTATGTGTTTTCATTTAAAGTTTTTGGGAGTGATAAGGCTTGAATTGGTACTGAGAAATGCAGGGAGGCAATGAAACAAACTGAACACAAATATCTTCTGTTTCTTCTTCCTTCAACTTTTCCCTCTTCAGGGGCCGCCACAGTGAGTCATCCACCTCCATCTCTGTCCTCTGCATCCTCTGTCCTCACTCCAACTACCTCCATGTCCTCTCTACCTGCATCCATATATCTTCTCTTTGTCTTTTTCCTGGCAGCTGCATTTCTAACATCCTTCTACCAATATACCCACTGTCCCTCCTCTGGACATGTCCAAACCATCTCTGTCTGGTCTCTCTAACTTTATCTCCCAGTTGTTCAACCTGTGCTGTTCCTCTGATGATCTCATTCCTAATCTTCTCCATCCTTGTCACTCCTAAGAAAAACCTCAACATCTTCATTTCTGCCACTTTCAGTTCTGTCTCCAGACCATGAAACATAGCTTTTTTTTTTTTTTTTTAAACATAGCTTGTCTCTGAACTGAATATAAACGGAACACAAATATAAAAATAATAATTATGGAGATCAGGGAGTTTCAGAAAAGAAAACGCAAAGAAAAGCAGCATGAAAAATAAACTAAATCCATAAATCTATCGAACAAAACGCAAGGATTATGACATACAAGCCATTTTTTAAATCATGTGTACAGTAAGAAGTGCATTTTAGGTTTGGGTTCTTGGTTAAGTTGAATGTTTTGAAATGTTGCCTACGCTTTCACGCTTCTCCTAAGTTATGGTGTTTCTAGTTGGACACAAAACATCTGAAGCTAATGAGCATCTCTGTCCTCTCTGTTCTGCCTCCCTTCCATCCTCTAGCTTCTCTCTCGGGCCATGGAGAGCATTCGCCCTTGTTAGACGCAGGGATTCATACACAGCCAGCACGTGTGTGTGGTGGGGGACGGTGCATCATCTAATTCTGCTGGTCATCATGTGTGAAGTTGTGGTCTGATGCCCACCCTCACCTCAGCGCTGGCCATGGACGGGGAGAACTACCTGCATCCAGAGGGCCCTCAGCTGGACCGCAGCTTGTTCTCAGTGGCCCCCTCAACGATGGAGGTTCAGTTATTTTCTTTGCATTGATGCTTTGTAGAGCGTACACAGGTCTTGACCATAAAGTCCAAATAATCAGACAATTTCATTTTAAGAGCTTTGATCGTATCATTTTTTTTTTCAAGTACCAGTAGTTAAATAATTTTAAAATAAAGGATTATTTCACTTATTACATACAAGTGTTGATAACTGAATTGTTTAGTTGCACACTGACAAACCTTTTTCTATTGCAATTATTTATTTACACATCCCCTGTAACTTAAACACACCTCAGATCTACCTTAAGGTAAAAATACAAACACAATTAGACATCATGTGACACGTGGAAAATATCTGTCATCTGAAATTGCAGAAAAAGGAAGTGATACTACTTGTGGAGATTTTAGCAATTTCAAGCAGAGAAGACCAGCGATGAAGGCGACAAGTTTTTCTTCCTCATACTTGAGTCTCTTATCGCTCCTTTGATTTTACTGATTAATCTCTTAAGATTTTTGCTCCCAACTCTTAAGGATTTTCATTTAAAAAGAATGAAATGTTGTTTTCTGGTGCATTATTGATGAATATATTTAAAAAAAATCGTCTTTTTTATTTAAAGTAACAACCAAAGAATTGCCCCTTTTTTTAATAAAGTGGAACAAAGTTCACACCATCTTCATTGTCCATACAGCAATCATTGAAATTCCAGAAAAACTCTCAAACTTGCAGCACATAAAAGTGAAACATGATGAGGATAAGTGTTTCCTAATTTTGCTGCACGAAAAAAACGTCAGGGTTTGTTTAGTCAGACTTAAACCAAATGAAGTCGACACACTTTCTGTTCTCAGATGCAGATGGCAGTGTGGATCTGAAAAAAGTCTGTTGCAGTGAAACAGTTTGTGTGAACTTATCATTCATTGTATGTCATTGTCAAAATGTACTTTTGATTTTAAATGTGCTTTAGTGTTAGAGCTGGTTCAAAATGCATCATAAATCAGTAACTTTTGTAATACGTAATACACCATTATGAGAACTCTCCTGGTTATGGTGAATGGGGAATCTTGTACTTTTTCTTTAGCGTGACAAACGTTTGTTTTGTGTTTCTAGAGTTCAATATATTCCTCCCCTGGTTTGTGGGGATCCTACTCTCAGCAGCCTGGATACAGCACACGCTGTCCTATGCAACCTGGAAACCAGTAAGTAATACAAACTTGTCCCACGGTATCCAACAAAGTTCAGTCAGGTCATCTGGACGGTTTCTTTTTTTGCTGAAGCGTTTTGTTCTTCATCCAAAGGACTTCATCAGTCCCAGGAGCCACAACAAACTCAGTCGACAAGCAGCACACTCCCATAGTGGACCTGAGTTTGTTGCAGCTCCTTGGACTGATGAAGTCCTTTGGATGAAGGACGAAATGTCTCAACAAAAAACAAACTGTCCAGATGACCTCACTGAACTTTGTTGGATTTATTTTTTATTTTTTTACCTGATTTATTGAGCATGAAATTTGAAAATAAATATATGAATTCAATCTGAGATTTGTGTTTATTTGCATATTTTTGTTCAGTATATACAGTATATTTCTGATGAGTTGGTGTCTGAAGAAAGTTGTTTTTTAACAATGTTTTATGCTCATGGAGGCAAAACTTCTAAAATAACACTTCTTATTAACACGAATGGTAAATTGTTCCTTTACATTCTGTCTTTTATACTGATTTAGTTATCTGCACTGTTTCTTTGAAACTGACGTGATGATGTGGACAGTCTGTTTTCAAGTTCATTAAAACTTGAATTTTATTAAATCCAACTAGTTCTACAAGAACATTGTTCTTGCTTTTTACATACACAGTTGTAATAAAAAATATATATCTGTCGTTTAGAAAACTAGGGTAAATAAATATAGTTTTCTTTAGATGGTGGTGTGAAGACTTTTATTAGGCAGAAATAAAGTTCCCTGATGTTTGAGAAAGCCTGATTCTCAGCTATGATTTGTGTTTACAGTAGAGTGGTTTCTCAAGGTCTAAATCTTTTCCTTGTAGCACTCCTGCAGCTTGAGTGGATCGTTGCTTGGTTAACACACACACTTAGCTGTGAAAGGTAAATTGATGAGACTTAAAACCTCTGGATTGTCTGCTCAAGTTGCTACTGATAATATGTGCAGGAGTGAGGAAAAATACATGCAGGGCACGTTTCCTCAAAGTGTTGACTTCAAGTGCCCACTCACATCTGCACAGCACATACCTTTCCTATGAATAATCCTAGGAGCGCAAAGACAGGGGGTTGGGGTTAAGGTTATTCTGTTTTGCTACTGATGTTTGTGTGCAGCATCTACCTGCAGAAAATCAGGTGCTGCCTCTTTGTGGAATCAACACAAAACTGTTACTAACCACAGAACTCTCTGTTCTCATTATATGTGATCCAAAATGCATCCATAACGTTTAGAGTTACACAAGAAACAAAGTGTCAGTGAAGATGTTGCTTTTTATTTTCAATTCTTTGAAGAATGCCTTTCACAGTATTACCCTCCTTCGTGTGTATCCAGGCTAAAAAATATATATATGTGCACCACTTGCGGGATAAAACGACAACAAATAGATTTATTACCAAGAGTATTGATGACGATGAACTGCAACTTTGTAGTTATCCATCCATCCATTTTCTTCCGCTTATCCGGGGTTGGGTCGCGGGGGAAGTAGCTTAAGTAGGGAGGCCCAGACTTTCCTCTCCCAGCCATTTGGTCCAGCTCCTCCGGGGGAATACCGAGGCATTCCCAGGTCAGCCGAGAAACATAGTCCCTCCAGCGTGTCCTGGGTCTTCCTCTGGATCTCCTCCCGGTGGGACGTGTCTGGAAAATCTCACCAGGGAGGCGTCCAGAAGGCATCCTAACCAGATGCCCGAGCCACCTCAACTGGCTCCTCTCGACGTGGAGAAGCAGCGGCTCTACTCCGAGTCCCCCCCGGATGATCGAGCTTCTCACCCTATCTCTAAGGGAGAGTCCAGACACCCTGCGGAGAAAACTTGTTTCGGCCGCTTGTATCCAAGATCTCATTCTTTCGGTCACAACCCAAAGCTCATGACCATAGATGAGGGTAGGAACGTAGATCGATCGGTAAATTGAGAGCTTCGCCTTTTGACTCAGCTCTCTCTTCACCACGACAGACCTGTACAGCGCCCGCTTCACTGCAGACGCTGCAGACGCTGCACCTATCCACCTATCGATCTCACGTTCCATTTTTCCCTCATTCGTGAACAAGACCCCAAGATACTTGAACTCCTCCACTAAAACGACAACAAATAGATTTATTACCGAGTATTGATGATGATGAACAGCAGCTTTGTAGTTAGTTAAATAAAATAGTTAACAACAAATAATATTGCTAACATGAAGTAGTAATTCATTATGATTCGTAAATGACACAAGGGAAATGTTCGACACACATGCCGCACTCCATTTCAGCCCAGCTGAGTTCTGCTCCATGCCTCTTTTGTTTCCTCTCTACCCTCTTCATTTCTGAAAACTCACATCTTGGCGGGAAGTGGTGGCTTAATCTGTAATATATGAACACCCATAGGAAGCATAAAGATGGACTGGTCTGTGTAGCCATTTCACAAAACTGTCCTTTGAAAGAGACTTCTTTCACAATCTGCCTAAATCCAGGACCGAGACATGTTGTGGCCACCTCAGTTCATAAGGAAGACACATCAAAGTGGCAAGGTGATAACAGAGGCAGGGCCGGCATGTGGAAAAATAACACACAGTGTTACAGCTCAGTAATGTGATGAATAGCACTGGTCAGGATTACTAAAAATAGATCTCTGTGCAATATGTTAGGTCAGCAAGTACCCGGATGTCAGGAAAACAACTCTGAGTACAATGAAATACAGTACTGTAATTGTGGTTTGCGCCCAAAATAAAACATGAGAAAAATGGTATCTAAGATGCAATGTTGATACGGGACATGAATTAGTGACGGCCGATATGCTGACAAGCCTCACATGCAAGGTATTTGTTGTTTGCCGTTTCCAAAGCTGATTACTCAGAGAAAGAAATGTGATCATTGGATTCGACTCTGTGGCCGAGTTGGCTTTGACCAGACACTTGTAAACAAGAGTACTTACCGTACATGTGTTCAAAACACTTCATTGGAGGGAACAGACCAACAAAGATGCACGCTGATCCCATACCAGCAGTCCCTGAACAGGTGTGCCATTCCATCTATTATGTTTTACCTGCTTTTCCCTTTTGTGTCAGAAACTTAACAGGAGCACTGAACGTCTTTTTCAGCGCGCACACGCTAATTTGTCTCTTTATGCACTTAATTCATCCAGTGTTTGCAAGTGAACACAAACAAAGAATATGAGGCTAAGTGGCAGGATAATAGTTTCAAAACACTAGAGATCCCAAAAATACCATCACCATCCTGGCATTCATTTCTTCAGTCTGCTGCCAAATACCTGTGCAAAACATGGCAAATCAAAACATGATGAAATAACTCACTTTAGCGAAACTCTTTGTGGTTAACTATTTTATTAAACTAACTACAAAGTTTTTGTGCGTCATCATTGATATTCCCTATCCCTAATGAATCTGTTGTTGTTTAATCTTGCAAGTAGGGGGTCGCACACCATTGTCATCAGTTCATCGCATTACTGTGGCTCCACATTTTTTATTTATTTTTATTTTTCACATTTTCACTGATCGTTACTTGTTTTAACAAGTTAAATTTAAGGATAAAATTGGATTTAGCATCACTACTAAAAAGTATTTTGAGCTTGTTAACCTTTATTTAACCAAACAAATCCCACTGAGATCACTCACTTTTACAAGGGAGGCCTGGGCCTGAAGGCAGCCTAACTTGCATGTTTAGGACTGTGGGAGGAAACTGGAGAACCTGGAGAAAACGCACACTAACAAGAGGAGAACATGCAATACTGTTACATTCGGGCCTAAAAAAATCCACCCGACCCGGCCCCAGCCCATAGCCATTTTTTCCGAACCAGACTCGACCCAATCATTTAATTGTAATTACAGGCCCGATTCCCGAACCTGAAAAAAAAAAAAAAACACCACTTTTTTTTTTTTAAATTAAGCTTTTACTGCTTTTGTAAGCAAATAAGTTTGACATGATCTTTTAAAAACGTCTTTCAAATAAAGGAAGATAAAAGATTTCTTGTTTATTAACAAGTCACTAAATGGATATTAACATACAAAGCAAATAGCCTAAAAAATCAACTCTAAAGATAGGCTATTACACAGATGAACAAAAATAGTTTTAGAGCAAAATTTTTTGGAAAAATACAGAACAAGTCTATTTAAATTGAATGCGCTGCTCGCTTCGACTTTTGTAGATGCTGCTACTTCCTTCACTGCAGATGACAGCAGATGTGGAGACGCGCGCAGCCGGTGATCAAGTGATCCATCTCAAGCTTAACTGGACTTTTTTTTTTTTTACCTCTTTCAACCGGACGGTCAGCAGACGCACGCAGCAGATGATCCCGTTTTTCATCTGAGCTTATCAGGACTTTTTTTTTTTTACCTCTTTCAATTGGCCTGTCAGACCTTCCTCCTCCAACAAGTAGATGAACACAGTTTTATCTTGTGCATTCTCATTTAGTTTTCTTTGTGCTGTATGATTCTTAAAACCGTATCAAAAGCCTGAGACCAACCTGGCCCGCCCATCAAGCACATTATTTTGGCCTGACTCGGCCCGAAATACAGGCCGGGCCAGGCCCAGGTTAGAAATTGCAACTTTAACATGCAAACTCCTCACAGAAAGACCCCAGATCTAAACCTGTTGGACCTGTTGGTGTTCAACATTCATGCATAGGTCCGTACTTTTCATCACATTCCAAAGCTGGAGTCTTTTTTTTGTTTGTTTTGTTTTGATGGAAGAAGATAATGGGACAGGTTGAGTCTTGGTATCAACTCTAAAATGTTGTTTGAGCTGCTGTTTGGTGTTTGTTGGATTTGGTTTGATGCATTTCGCACAACTGAAAACCAAAGTTCACTTGTTGCACACAGCTAGTAGCATAAGTGCCTTTTGTTTGTGCTATCAATAAGGAAGTGTTCTTCCAAAGAATCTGAGCAGTTTGTGTGTATCTGTGTGTGTGTGTGCGTGCCGCGCACGCATGTGTGTGCATGCGTCCATGTGTTAGACCTTTACTTAACTTGATAATCATAAGTTTTTTTTCCAGGAACTAGTGTTTAACAGTTGATAATCTTTTGGAAACAACTTCTTCACAAATAAATACAATTACAGGACTCTCTTTCAGCTTCTTATGCAGTATTATAAAAAGTTGCTCTCATTGGAATAACTTGTTAATAGCTGTTATTTTTGTTAGCTGAAGTTACTGAGTAAAGCTTGACTTGTTTAAAGTTGCACATTAGCTGTTACTGATAAAAAAAAGGGTGTTGATTTGCCTTATTTTACCTTTTCACATTTTTTCCAAAAAAAATAAGTGCAACAATTTACATGGAAACAGTTTTATAAAAGTGGACTTCCAGTAAATACACTATTTAAAAGTAGGGGTGCACCGATTGCAGTTTTCTGGCCGAGCACAGATTTCTAAAAAGTCTGACCTGCCGATTCCGATTTTGGCCGAAACTGATTTTGTTTTATAAGCGACACTGTCAGGTGTTATAATGTCACAATGCACCTTCAATTTTCCAATATTATTTTATTGAAAAACATACCCTTGAACAATATCCCAAAAACAATACAGACTTGTTTTAAATGGCCATGAGGTAGTGCTCTGAAATATAATTGATGTTCAGGCAATTGTCGTTAAAACAAAAAAAAATTGGTGAAATCAGTTTTTCATGCAAGTATCGGCCGATTTCTGATTTCCCCAAATTAAGGAAATCGGGGCCGATAAATCGTCCAAACGATTTATCGGTGCACCCCTACGTAAAAGCACCCAGCATCCTTTTACTTTGGTGTCAGATGACAACTTTATAAAGTGTCAGTCAAGCTAGTTTCTTCTTCTTTTGCCCTTTCTAGTTTCTATATTTGGTTCAAATCTAGAGTTGTGGAATATTCATTGGTTTTAAATGATAAAACATGAAGTAATATCCTGATGCATGCTCAATAATCCTGGTAGAGAAATCTATCAAGGTTGAGTCATGTCCTCTGGATTGGTTCTTTTTTTATATACAAAAGATTTATTCAGTCTGAGGAGATGCAAGCAAACTCTTGCAAACAAAGTCTTGTCAGCAGCACCTTGGTATGGATCAACCTGCACAGAAGAGCAACTTAATCAGGCCAGGACTCTGCGGTCTACACTCATCTGCAGACCAGCAGTCACCCTTTCAAGGATGAAGATGTTCACATCCTTGATAGAGAGGAACAATGGTTTGAGAGAGGAGTAAAGGAAGCCAAGAGAACCCGTCCATCGTTAAACGGGGCGGAGTCCTCCATGTTCATCTGCCCCCCCTCCTACATTGCTGTTATTGCTAGTATCACTCAGCCCTCTGCGAATAGCAAACAGCCATTAGCAAATAGCCATCAGGGCTCTAACGATCAGTTGTTTGTCTGATGGTCCTCCTTTATCATGAGAACTGCTAATTTTGGCTGTCACCATCAAACTGGTTGATCCACAATGAGAAGGAACTGCTAATAAAACTGAGTTTGTGCACAGCTCCTCAGACTTAAGGAGTCTTTTGGATAAAAGATGAAACGTTTCATCAAAGAAGAACTCGTCCAGAGAACCTGACTCAACCTCAACCCTGTTAGATGCTAAAGTAATGCTAAATGTAAACTAATACGTTAGGTTAGTCAGTTCCTTTGGCTTGAGCCTCTGAACAGCTTTGTTGGCGGAAGCTGCCGATGTCGACCTGCCAAGACCTCCTGTAGTAATGTTTCTGTCAGAGCACTGCAAGGGAAGAAAACAAAGGGAATTTCCAGTGTGGGATTTTTTTACCAATCATAGTGTTTTTTCCCTCCTTTGTGTTTTTAGATTGATCAGTCATGATTATATTTTCCCCAAAGTGTACAGTTTGGCTTCCATACACTAGTTAGATGTTCCCTTTTATCCTCTTAGTGTGTTTTAAACTTCAGTCGGTTTTCCTGAGCTCTGAGGACACAGAGCCAAAGGACACAGAGTTAAATCCTTTGAATGGCTTTGGCCACGCTCCAGCTGTTTTAGCTTCAAGCTCCAGCACCTGATTGGATGAGAGGAACATGTGCTAGCACAGTTTCAACTTGACACCAGTTTAGTTTTGCTTTTGTTTTGAGTGTTCACCCGCCAGTGTCAGCAGCAATAAGGGCTGTTGCTTTTAGGTAACTGGACACAGTGAGAAACTGAAAATATATCATGCTGGAAATTCGATTTATATTCATTTGTGGGATAAGTTGATACAGGGTGGAGAGAGATGTTTGGTTGGAAGCAAAAGTGGAGCTTCATAGCTGGTAAGAGCAGCTTTTTCTGACTAACTATTTTTTTTTGTAGCTCAATTGTCTGCCTGTCTGTTTCACCTGAGACCTGATGAAGTTGTTTTTTTCTATCGTCTACTCTCTCGGGCAGTTAAACTGGGATTGTTGTCAATTTTACAAACATTTAAAGGAACTCGAACTTTAACTCTCACATTAGACTTGCAATGCTGTGATGACTTTGCACTTTTAAATTGTCTTTAATAAATAGATATTTATAAATTAGATATAATTTTACATTTGGTAAATTTGTGTTTTTTAATATATTATATATCTCTGATCTGACTATGACACTCAATCATATACATGGGATCATTTCAAATAGTTCTTTTATAACATTATTTTTATTGCAAAAACAGAATGTTGTTGACCTTTACAGCTGTAAGGAGTACATTTCTATCATTAAATGAATACAAAGCTCATTTGTGTCACTTACTACTTTTTTCACTTTTCACAAGTAAGTAGTTAAACAAACCAAACATGCTCTTTCTCCTACAGGCAGTACCCTTTGAGCAGCAACAATACCACCACTGTTCCAGATATGCACATGGACTTGTACCAGGGAATCCCTGACATGGACTTTGCAAGCCTCAGTCTCCCAAGGAATGGAGATTTCTCCCAGGTTAGTTTCCTTATGCTGTCGAACGTTTAATTGTAGACACAGAAACTTTGTTTTGCAAGAAAGGGTGTTTGTGTTATGTGGCGGATGAAAATGCTCATACCATATTTTTATGACTTTTTATCATAAGAAAGGACTGTTGTATGTACCGGTAGCTGTCTCAGTCATCCAGTCTTTTATGCTTAGGCCGTTTTCTTTGATTGTAAAGCAGTTTTGTGTGTTGTCTTGATTGTCCTTGCACCTGCACCCCTATTAAGGCTGGTTAATAATAGGGCAGAAGAACTTTTCATTCTTCTATATTTCCATACTGCGCTTTTAGTATCTGCTGCTGTGTATTTTAAAAATGAGAGCCATTTCAGAGATGTTTTTAAGCATTTAGGGAAGTTTTTGAAGCAGTCTGTGTGTTCCATGACTCATTAGGCAACAGGAGTTGCGCAGACATGAGCAGCAAATTGATGCAAGCTAGCTTTACAGATTTAACTGAGCATTCTGGATGTTACTGTTCATTATTTGAAATGCTCTGTTTATGTGAATTTGGTGTCTGTCCATCCAATCCCTTTTAGTTAGTTAGATTTGGTTGAATGGGAACTTTTTTAATGACACAGACTAGTGAGTTTCCAGCGTGAGTTCCATCATGGATCCACAGTAATATGCAACATGTTATGATGACTGAATGCTCAAATCCACTGGCAAGTCTGTTTTTTTTCCACAGACTGTGGAAAATATCTGGCTTTCAAGGATTTTTTTTTTTGGGTTCATCTTGCATTAAATTCAGATTGATGGGTGGGGGACGTGACAGCAGTGATTCATTACAAGGCATTTTCTAAGTTGTTTATGAATGTTCTTGGATTATCTCTGAATTTGACTATACCTACAAGGAATTCATCCTTTCAGTGCCTGCTGCAGCTTGTTCTGAGTCTTGTGGGTGGGGTGCAATCTACAGATAATTCATTCACCAGCTATCCTTACATTTTTCATTTTTTTTTCATTTAGCCTTTATTTATCCAGGTTAGTCTCATTGAGCCACGAGAACTCATTTTCAAGAGAGACCTGTTTAGGGAGCACATGGTGGGGTAAAGGGCCTTGCTCATGGGCCCAGAGTGGGGCAAATGAGGGTGGGGGCAAGTGTGGGTGTTTCACCTACCCCACCCACAATTTTTGATGTTGTCGGGGCCGGGGCGTGAACCGGCGATCTTCGGATCACAAGCCCACCTCTCTAACCTCTGCGCCACCACTCCCCATACTGAGGGAGGCATCTAAATGAAACCTACACAGATGAATCAAGAATTTTCCTGCTGGGAGTTGATGGGACTAGCGTCTGCATTACCTTACTTCTATCCCACACATTGTAGGAAATAAAATTGTGTGGTTATCATACACAACTATCTTTGTTTCTACTGTTTATTTTACTTTTTTACCTCAAGAGTTGAACTGTTGAATTAAAAGAAATGCTCAAACTGCACTCAGAGGTAAAAACCAAGTTGGACCATCTTTAAAAAGCACTCTAAAACCCAATCAGTGTTGACAACATCCTCCTAGCATCTGAGGGTTTTCTGAAAAACTGACAGAGCAGGGGTCAGCATAAGCGGTTTCCAGTTGTCTAAAACAACCTATTTTCGTCTCGGATAACCAGATCTCGCCTCGATGTTGTCCAGTAGACAACCAAGTGAAAGAGACTGATAAAAGTTCTCCATTGCTGCCATGGATTTCCGTCATCTGTAAAATTGAAATGGGAATAAACCTTGTGTGTCTTTTAAAAACCATCCAATCTAACGATGATGTGGGGCTCCTGTGTGATAGGGATAGGGCAGCCGACTTAGAACTAGAAAGTCACAGTCAACTCCTCACCATGCCCACATGTTGTGGTGTCCTTTAGCAAGACACCTAATCCCTAACAGCTCTCCGGACACTTTGGTACATAGCTACCCACTGCTAGGGCATTAACAGAGTACTCGAGTAATCTACACATCGATTGCTAGGACATCTATCGAGGTTAAAAATGTAACGTCAAGTAGCCGTAGCGACGTCATATTATGTGACCACCGTATGACCGTAGGGGGCGGTGTTGCACTGTTGCAGGTCACAGAGTATGGTGTAATACCGGGTCCAATCCACCGAACCAGAACCAGCTTCCTCTGACCTTGTTTCACAAACAAAAAGCAAAAAATATTAATCTCTAAACTATAAAAAAAATCTATAAACATATTAATCTCTAAAACTGAACTTAATGCGCACCACAGCTGGCGGTGGTGCGGGGTGGTCAAACACCCCCCCCCCAACGTTAAGTTTCGTTTTTGACGTGCTGCACGTTTCTTCACGTTTGCAGTTTAATAATAATAACTAATAGTTTAGTTTTTCCTGTGACTTATTTGCAGTATGTTAAATGGTAGGAGCATAATATATGCTCCCAATGTTTTGTTGGTCTTTTTTTTTTTTGTAACTAATTACCTTTTTTGTGGTTTTATTTATTTATTTATTTTTGTATCTTGAGATCTATGACGTCATCAAATACTGGAGTTCTACTCGGGTTTTATTATGTTAATGTCGAGTTTAAAAATTATATACTCGTTCAACCCCTACCCACTGCCCCACCTGGGTGTATCTCAGGTGTGAAGGGTTAAATGCAGAGAACTAATGTAATCATTGTATGTTCCTATACAATGATGACAATACATAGCACTTTCACCTTTGATACAGGGTTTAAACTGGCTGCTTTCAACAAATAAAGAAAACCAAAGCCACAGTTTTACCCAGTCAGTGCAGAGTAGGGTGGGTCAGGCTGTCTGATGGGGGTTCAGTGTTCCCAGCTTAGAGAGAGACTGCGGGTGAGAGCACTGATCAGCGTTTACAACACTATTTTCTAGAGATGCACCGATACGATACCAATATTGGTATCGGTACTGATATCGGGGGGGGGGGGGGGGGGGGGGGGGAAAACGAAACAAAAAAACCTTCTGGATCAGGTATCGTGACAATGTGACCGATCCATGACTGGGCAGATCTATTCACTCTAATTCTATGCTTTGTGCTCTGAGTGGCGTCACAAATTAAAGTTGTATTTGTACATGTTTTACCAAGCTTGTGAAGTTCTTGGTGTGTTTAAGTGTGCTGTTATGGTGCAGAGTTTTCACTAAATTTGTAATTCAGTGCATTCATGTCTGCATTTAACAAAATATATGTTTTAAGTTAATTCAGCACTGGGTTTGTAAGCTCAAACATCCAGGTAGACAACAAAAATGGCTAAATCATGTAAACGGGTCCAGATGACATGATTTAGCCATTTTTGTTAAATCAGCACTGTTTTTCTGTATCAGATCGGCATCAGATCGGTATCGGTCGATACTAAACAGCATATATCGGTATCGGATCGGAAGTGAAAACAGTGGATCGGTGCATCCCTACTATTTTCCAAGAGCAGCTCCTGAAAGAGTCTACCACTCAGTAACTTGGAAATTCCAAGCAGTTCACAAGACAGCTAACTGAGAACATTTTGTATAAAGTGCAATTTGCTTATGAAATTAAATTTTACCTGACATTTTTTGCCTTCTGTATTGTAAAGATTGCGGGCAACCAAAGATTTTGGCAGATGACCAGATTCTGTCAAGAGGTTGTCTACTGGACAACGTGGGAAATTTCCTTATGTCAGCCCCTGCAGAGTTTTCAGTCTACACCTTTTAAGCAGAGAGAACAAAAAGACCAACATAGAAAAAGATTAGGGAACTCAAATGTTTGGCATGGCCAGCAAATTTCTTCTTTCGCCCCTTTTTAAAATCACTGCACACGTCTTTAAAATAATAACGTAAAATGTCTTCATGTTATAGCAAGTTTAAAGAGTTGACAAATACAAACAACATCTGGTCTGAGTTAGGGGAAGGAATCTTAAGGCACCTCACAGATTGATTTAATTTAATTCAGGTGGCTGTAATGTTATAACAAATTACAAATGTATGTCAATTATTTTGAAGTCTTTGGCTTACTTTACATAAATAAACACTGATTTGTATATTTTCATAAGTAATAAAAAGTGCAGTTACTTATATAAAAAAAACCAATGCTGACCAACAATTAGCTTACATGCTAACTTAACATTGAAAATACTTTAGAAAAGCTAACATTTGTCATTAGAAATTAATACACAAGTCAAACTTGTTAAGAAATTACTAAAGACAATCGTGTTACGATAACTTAAACTATTATTTAAATTACTGTAAGTTATTTATCACAGATATTTACTGAAACATGTTCCTACTCTAGGAATCTACAAAACTCTTGTAGGACAAACAGAACAATGCAGCAACTACTAGAGGTGCAGCACTAATTAACATTAATAGTCTTTTTTTACATTGAAAATGTATTCAGAATTTTCCATGTTTGTGATGCAATGCATTTAAAATTTAATTTTGCCCCCACCCCACATCTTAATAGGGGTAAAATAAATAACATATGGTCATATTTGTGGACATAAAAAGACAAAACATGTTGGATAAGTTTTTAATTTTAGTGGTTTCTTATAATTCTTTGTGAACACAGGCATAAAAACATGATCAGCTGGTCGAGGTGGTCAGACTAAATGTTGACTGGGCCATTGGAATTGAGTTTAATGGCGGAGATCAGAAGGTCATTATTCTCAATATCTATACACCTTATGAATGTCATAGGAATGAAGATGAATATCTTAATAGGTTATCTTGTCATCCAGGAAAATGCTTCCACTTGTTTTTTAATTGTGGGCGACATGAATGCAGATATTTCTGAAAGAAGTTTAATATTTGCACATTACTTAATGCAATTCTGCCTTGATAATGGTCTGATTCTCTCCACTAAGGTTCTTTTTACTTGCTGACAGCTTCACTTATGTTAGTGAAGCATGGGGTACAACTTCCTGACTAGATCACTGCATCAGTACAGCTGATACTCACCAATCCATAGAATCTATGAGAATTAATTATGGGCTTTCTACTTCTGACCACATGCCTCTATTTTTATCTGTAAATACTGGTAAT